TGAACACTGGGCATGGAAGGGATTCAGTGGTGAGTAAAAGAAATACGATCCCAGCCCTAATGGAACATACAGTCTAATACAGAATGATACTATATAAATAAATCACTCAATTAATACAAAATTATAAATTGTGATTAATGCTAAGAAAGAAAGAACAATCCCAAAAAGGAAAAGAAAAGAACATATGATTTAGATTAGAGATCAGGGAAAGGTCCCATAAGGAAGGAACATTTAAACTGGGATATGAGGGCAGCATGTACAGGAGGAGGGGGACAGACACCCTGTGTAGAAAAGTTCTTCCCACAATCAAATACCAGAAAAGAAGACCACAAGGCCAGAGCACAGTGAGCAAAATGAGCATGGCAAGGCATGCGAATGAGAGGTCAACAGGAACAAAGTTAGGCGGGGCCTTGCAGGATGTAAGAATCCAGAATTAAAGCCTAAATCCAAGTTGGCTAAGAATTCTGGGCCAGAGAGTGACATTGCCCAGGGAAAAACTGGAGCAGGTACGAGTAGCTATAGGGAGACCAGGCATGAGAGAATGGAGCTGTGATGTAGGAATTGGAGAAAGAATTAAGATATTATTTTGCAATTGACCTGATAGGCAAGGGTGGTAATTAGGTACAGAGCTTAAGGATTATTAGTGATGAGAAAAGTGAGCGACTCTTTCCAGCCTTCTGACATTTGCAGCTAGGTTAATAGAGGCATCCCTTACTGGTAAGATGGGAGAAAGTCGTGAAAATGATCAATTCTATTTCAGAGGTGGTGGCACTTGGGAGGCCATCTGTGAGCCCTTCAAATGCTGATTCTGAGTAGGAGGTTCACAATGAAGGTCTGAAACTCACAAGAGTTTGGGCTGTGGCTTAAAATATAATTTATATGCCAAGGACTTCCATATTTATACTTTCCAGCCCGGCTGGAGAGAGGAAATTTAAAACCCAAGTCTGTTCCACTACTAAATCCGTGAAGCTCTTCTGCTGCTCCACACTTCTATGTGCATAAGAAAGAAAAATTCATGGAGGAAATGACTTAAGGTTTGAAGGATATACAGATGTTTTGAAGAGAAATAAGGAAGTTGAAAGGCATTCCAAGGCAAAAGCAAGAGAACTTGTGAAAAGCCCAGAGCTGTGAGAGGGCCTGGCACAGTAAAGGCCCAATAAAAGATTTATTGTAGCTACTAACAGGTGAAGGACACAGCCCTCAGTGGAGAGGGGCTGCAACAGGAAGAGAAACAAAGCTGGTGGAGCAATGGGATAGGCCCTGTGGCAGGGACTCTAGTTACTGCCCAATTATTTAGTCTCTTCTTTCCTAGTAATATGAATTCCAATTTTTACCAGGGCACACTGATGCCCAGTATAATGCAAGATCACACATCCCTCAGCTTCCTTACAACTATGCATGGCCTGTATGTCTAAGTTTTAGCCAACAAGATGCAGGGGAAAGTGCTGTTAGTGACTCCTAGGAAGTATCTGTCTGGGGTGAAGGCTCAGCTTTCTCTCCTTCCTCCACCCTACCAGCTGGAGTGTGATGTGATACTTGGATCTCCTGAAGCACAGATTTTTGTCCTGGAGGCCACAGGACAAAGGTGTGTTCTACTCTGCAGAGCAGAACAACAGAATAAGCTGAAAACTATGAAGCTGTCCTACAAGCCCTAGCCTGCTTGCTTCTTTGATATGAGTTAGAAATGAATGTCTTTTTTTGTTTAAGCCATTGACATTTTAGGATTTAATGCTATTCTTAACAAAACAACTTTCTAACATACAAGTCCAGACAACGAAATTGGCAAGCTTGCATACTATCCTATACAGCATTATAAAAGCCAGGGAATATTTTCTCTCCAGACTTATGTATCACATATATATTTTAGGGCTATAAATTTAGTAGTACTCAGGAATGGAGATATAATGGTAACAGATCTCAGAAAGCTAGGGGTTAGAGTTTGGGTGAGACACAACAATCAGAACCTGAATTAACATAATGGGCAGGGATTAAAAGATTTACAAACTACCAAATCCAAGCTTGTTCCATCTCTGAATGAAGGGCCACAGAAATTTTCAA